TGACGACATGTGTTGTTGACCTCTTGGCCAGGTCACCCTTGTAAAAGAGATCGTGATCTCAATGGGTTTTTTACCTGGTTAAATAAAGAGAAGTAAAACATAAATGGGCATTAACAAAAGAGATAAATAACATTATGCATGTGCATACATGTGCATGAAATTCTAAATGTAATATTTAAATATTAAATGTAGTCAAGTAAAATGAATGTTGTCTCTAAATTTGTTTCACATGCTTCCTGTCTAAACTCAAAGGCTTTTATTCAGCAGGTCAATAGTGACTGCTGTGTCCTTTCTGGGTCAGACTGTTCTTGGCTTTTTGTTTTTATTCATTTAATAAAAGTTTATCTTTAGTAAAAGGTGAGATTGATAATAAATGGAACTGAACAAACTATCTCCATCACACAAATGAGATGTACATGCTAAATGGATTGGTGCGCTAACACTGTGTGGTGAGTCCAACAGGCTGACACACTGTCACACCCCATGTCCTCACTGGAGTGGGCTTCAGCAGCTATGGGGCCAGCAGACTGTTTCGTGCACCCGCTGCCATCTGCTACGGAGTCGTGATGTGATGATATAAGCTTATTAATTTACTGTACACATAGTAATGTGTCTGTGTGAACCTGCGATAATCCCCATGGGAATAAATGGGTCGTGGCAGCAATTAGTCAGGAGGAGGAAAAAGGGTCAGACATAACAAAATAGTCATTTGTAATGCTAGAACAAAGGGAGAAGAAGGGCATGAATGTAATGACAAAAAAGTATGAAAACTGATACAGTATTTCAGAAACTTCCCTCATCTTTTTACTGAGAGTTGCAGTAAAAGATTGATACCACAGATTCTATGTAAAGATCATCTATACTTTATATATGATACTAACTCACGCTGGTGGTTACCATAATTAGCACAGACCCTGGCAACATGGAGAAAATGCTAACATGTCTGTCAGAATTCAATGACAAAATATGTCTACCATCACCACTACGGACTAATTAACACATTTTGCTTTAAGTTTGGAGGCTCTGCTAACTTGCTTTTGTTACCTTTGACATACCAAGGCTAGCAAGTTACCCCTGTTTTCAGCCATTTTGCTAAATTAAGCTAAGTCCCCTGGCATTTTGACACCAGCTAACACTGACACTGTGCGAGATGGTTGATACACCGTGGGCTAATACGTATAAACAGACTATCATTCACACCTACAGTACAGACAATTTAGAGTTGCCAATTAACCTGGACTGCGGGATGAAGTCGAGTACCCTGAGGAAACTCATACAAGTACAAGGATAACATGAAAACTCCACACAGCACCGTGAGTGGCCACGAGACTCAAACCTAGAGCCTTTTGGATGAGGCAACAGTGCCAACTACTGCACGCCTTGCCACCCCCATTCAATACAATCAAATGTATTAATCCAACTAGGAGCAATTTGCCTGGAGCAGCTCACACAACAGACAAAATCCAACACATTTAAAACATCCACTATCCAGGTCCTACACAGCATTTAGCAGTTGAACTGCAGAGAGAATGAGTACCCATAGAGTAACTATTAGTTTTCCAGTTTTAGAGCCTCCCACACTAATCCTCCCATAAGACATAATGTGAACATTATTGTGGGTGGAAGCAGAGGTGCTTATGTGTGTGCCATGTCACATCCTATGGGATTTTGTTCAATTGCTGCTGTGAATGTTTAGGTCAGGGGCAGAGAGGCGTTGGAAGCTGGGCTTTATGACTGACCCCTGGAGCAAATCCTGGGAGAGGAGGTGGCGTAGGAGGGGAGAAAAAAAAAGACTTTCAAACAGCCAGAAATGAATGCAACAGGAGGAGAACGCTGTTACTGTACATGCTCCTACACACACAATGATCAGTGTAAAGCTCCAACAGTAAAACATCTTTCATATTGTAATGGTAGCAGATATTTCACGACTCCCCTACACCATATGCCTGAAAATAACTTCTAATGATGGTAAGGATGCAGGCGGCCATGTATTTGATTCTACAAAAAGTAAACCTTGTTTTCGGGGAATCTCACTGACCCGGAGGAAAGATAAATGCCAAACAAAGAGAAATGTGGTCCCAGTTTATGTAAAGCACTAGCAGTAAATCTTCCCTGGTTCTCTACCACCTCGAGCATGTGGTGCCACTGCAAGCCACAAAGGTCTTTACTCAGCCTGACCTGTGTGTGCTACTGATAAACTGCATTGCACCATGTTTCACAAGTCATAAGAAAAAGAAAAGATTTGGTGGCACTGACATTTAAATCTAGAAATGTAAATTTTGTGAATCACCATCTATTCACTGCATATTTAAAAGTGCTAAGTGAAAAAGGAACTGGACCTGTTGAAGTTTTCTTCAGATTTTAATTTGCACTTTTAGATACAGCAAGTCCTGGGTGACTGAGAATTAGTCATCCATCAGGGTGACACGCCATCTGAATCACTTCCATGTCCCTGGTTTCAGCTTCTCCTGATCCTGTAACTGATCATCTTAGAACAGAAAACCTCAATTAAGCAGGCAAGGATTAATTAGTGTAATGAGGTGCAGCTAGGGAGGCAGCAGCAGGTTAACAGGTGTGAAGAGAGCAGGGGAACCCACCAAGGACTCCTGGACAGGAAAGGAATGACTGATAGAAAACATGGATGCTCCAGAGAAAATGGGAGACGGAAACAATGAGCAGGCACAGGAATAAAATAATATATTTTTCTGAAGAAAAGTGGAGCTCAAATGACTTTGAGGGGGCTGTTCAACCAATTCAACTCTGATGGAACAGAAATATGTGAGGCAGTAGGCTACTGACATCCAGTATTTAAAGCACAATGGCCCCCTCTAGTGTTTTTAGGACAATAAATACTACAGCTGGAGTGAGTGTGAGGATGAAATTCCATATGCTGTCTCCCCATTTTATACTATACTAATCAGGGTTGTAGCTGCCATGGAGGTGGTCAATACTTTCTCCGGAATTTTAGGGGTCTTTAGAATATTATTCCTGACATTGCAACAAAAGCTTTGAAACACAACTTAGAACTTAATGTTGGAAAATAAAACATGTAGAAGAAATCTCATAAGTTCACTGAATATACGATATGAACAATTCAAATAAGAAAGTTAAACACTGTTTTGGTCCCAGGGTCGGATACATTAAGGGAGTTCATGTATAAGACTTTACCTAGAGGGAAAATTCACACTATAGCAGTAGAGACAAGCTAAGAGGTAAATTAAGAGATAAAATTAAATTCGCAGACAACGCAACGGCCATCGCTCTCGTCTAAGATGGCGACGAGTCTGTGTACAGACAGGAGGTTGAACAGCTGGTCCTGCGGTGCAGTCGCAACAAGCTGGAGGCTGAACATGCTCCAAACTGTGGAGAGGACAGTGGACTTCATTAGGATGTTACAGCAAACATTTGTTTGCTGTAACATCTGAGTTTACATCAACTCATCAAAAATATTTAATGAGGTGAATCAATTTCGTAGTTTGCACAAGCCCCCCCCCCAAAGACTGTACTTCCTATTAAATTTTTGCAGTCTGTTTTAAATGTTTTTATCATTCTGTAATTCAATCATGTCCCAATTTTTTAAATTCTACATTTTCTTATGGATTAAATACAAATATATTGTATTTTTGACCTTGCATTTAGCTAGTTTTCATTTTAGTTTATTTTTAGGCAGTAAAAACTGTTTATACAGCTGTATGCTATTTGTTTAAGTGCCTGAATTTTAGGGGAAATCAGTGCCCGTGAAGATTAATGTAGTATTTGCAAATGAGAAACAATAACAAGTTTTGTTTGCAGAAACTAGGTGCCTACACCTACATATTACAGTGGATTAGAAAACAGTAGTGCTTAAAACCTTAGGAGGAAATGATGTTACATGGTACAAAATGCAGCACTGTTATGTTTAATGACATCATATTCAGCTATATATAAAAAAATGGGTAGCCATATAAAAGCAGTGAAAGAAAAACCAACAGAAGCCTACAGCAGTCAAGTCCTCTGTACGGAAACTCTTTGACAGTGGATAAAAAAAAAAAAAAGAAAACAACTTACAGATTTGCTGAATCATTGTGTCTTGGCCGTTTGTCATCTCAAACGTAGCCAACTAATCATGTAACTAGGATCAGTGATGGCCAAGTCTTATTTTCTGGAGTTCCCCAAAAAGTCCAGCACAGCGTTGCTCAGTCCAGTCTGTGGGTAGCGATCACCCTAGAAACATGGAAATGGGATCATAGATGCATCCAGTTTTTTTTCTAGTCTGCTGCTACAGTGACCACAGCCCTTTAACCAGCAGACTGTCTAAATACACGACTCCTCAGGGATAAAATCCATCTCCCATCCAGGACATCTGCCACGTAGAAACCAATACAAATCAACTAATACAACTTCTGAGAGTTTTTAACTCTGGTTTTCAAAAGGTTCAAATTCTACCTTTGTTGAAAGCTAGTCAGAGACTAGCTTGGAACGAGCACTAGCTCACCATAGCTCCAGCACCAATCGGCTCAGGACTTGTGTGCATCAACGCTGCCACAACAAAAGCACTTTTGGGGAAGTTTTTCTTTTTACTTGCAATGATCTTTATTATCTCTTCCAGTTTTGAATGTGAAAAGAGGCATTACTTCTCTTTAATTAAATATATTTTTAATAAAGTAAAGCAAAAAAGTATGTACACAATTTCAATTAAATCGTAATCAACGAATTGGGGTGGGTAATTATAAACACCTTCTGCCAGCTGAGGAGAGAAAAATATAAATAGAGGAAAACTGCAACTTTGTTTCATAGAAGGAGAAAATTACATAAGCAATTTTTTTATGAAAACAAACAAAAAACCCAATCCATCATATATTTACAGAACTCTCCTGAAGTGCATTTCCACCAATGGAAGCAGAAAAGGCCTTAGGATTTGTACTGTTAAACTTTACTTCACTAAAAGTCCTTTTTCATTAAAGTGGATTTGTCGGTATACTTGTCAAGTTTCAATAATATTTCATCTTTTAAAATCTGATAACAGGCTTCATCGGAGGGTGCAGCCCATGCTCTCCCTTTCGCAAGTCCACAGTTTGTTTTTTGAAGTGTTAGAAACAAGTAAAACAGACACAGGGGAGTTTGGGGTTTGGGATGAGGGGTGTCAGGAAAGCATCGTCACCCCCCAGCAGCAAGACGGTTAATGTTCACCGCCCCTCTTCTCAGTGACGCCATCCTTGTAAAGTCCACATGAAATCCTCAGAGTCCACAACCGTTACTGTAACTTCAGTCTGAAATGTCCGTTCGACAGCTCTTGCCGCTTTTCTTTGTAGTTTTCCCATTTTATTATAAAACGCATACTCCAATCATCCAACACTGGAAAAATTAAACAAAAAGCTAGTCGTCTACATAAGTGTGTCATGTAGATCAAACACCATGCGTGCGACATGTTTCTGTGTCATGTTCACATGATAAAAGATGAAGTCATCAAAAATATAGATTCAAACTGCCTTTTTAAATTTCATGTCATTAAGCAAAGTTTCTTGAATAATGTTGCCATGGTGAGAAAAAGCCACTTGAAAACGAGAGAAATCTAAAAAAACAACAGCGAAGGAAACAGCATGATCTCCCACGGCTTGAAATTTCTCAGCATTCACTCGCTTTCATATTGATTCTCTGCATTTATCCTGTATTCTCATTTATCTCAAAAAAGACATTTGGTTGTGCAAGAAAAAACAAAAACAAACAAGAAAAAGAGCAAAAAAAATAAAATGATCGAATGTTCGATCCACAATACAATCTCTCCCAGTTGAAGAATTTTTTTTTTCTTGATTTTTGTCTGTATGCAGAAGGATTTTGCTTATTCAGACTCGTCTGAATCATCCACAGAACATTTGCTCCTGCCGGGACTTCTCTAACCTCCCACCAGCAGTCTGAGGGGCCCCTAGCTGTTGTCAGACTCGTCCTCGGCCTCTCGGAGCCAAGTGAAGAAGGCGGTGACGGACTTGAGGGCCACGCCCTTTCCCTGCTGCTCGGCGGGGTCTTTGCTGGACTCCCACTTATAGAAGGCCTCCTCTTTGATTACATCCTCGTCATAAAGTGTGTCAAAGAACATCCGCAGCAGATCTGATGGAGAGAACGGATATGCAAAATGTTCACAAGAAAATTAAATAACAATTTGAACAAAATTTAAAACTAAACATTTTAACAACAACCATTTAAATCAGCAATGTACAACATAGATATTAGACAGATGTTTGGGGCATCTGAAATCGGTAACAAACGTCAAACATCAGTGGTGGCAAAGGACAGCATACAATGAACCACTCACTGGCAGGTTGCTCCATCTGCACCATCAGGGCCTGCAGGGCGTAGAGAGCCTGCAGCTCCTTCTGCTCGTCCTTGAGGTATTTCTGCAGCAGTTTTGCCCTCTGTTTGATCTGCTCACCGTCCACCTTGTAGGGGTTTTCACCTACAGAGGCAAATGCATTTAACAGCACTCTCTTGGTACAGGACTGGGACCAGCTAGGACTCAACATGCTGCAACAGTTACATTCAACTATGCCTATTACCTCAGTGACATGCCCTCACACTATCTTGCTCAAAACCAACAATTCTGTCTTTATCTAGTCCACTTTGAAGTCTTTAATGACAAAAGTGAAAAGTGACATTTGACTCACAGATGATTGCTGACTGGCAGATGGAGGTCATCAGAACTCTGACAAACATGTTGGACGAGGTCTGCTGCTCATCTAGGTTAGCCTACAGAGAGACGTTTATTTACTGAGAGCAATCTGAACAGCTTAGAGAAAAGAAACCCTGAACAACATAATGGCTGAAACTGCAACTTCAATAAGCTGATGAAGCTGCAACACAAACCTCAATCCAGTCAAAGATCCTTTGGTTGTCGGCCTTGTCTTGGATCAGTCTGTCCAGCTGCTTGCTCAGCTCTGAGGAGCTCAGCTCCTTTGTTTTGCTCTTCTCTGACTCATCACCCAGTGTGAACTCCACGTTCTATAGACAGAGTGGCGCACACATAACTTTTCATACCATACACCTCTGGTTACCTTTACATAATCAAATTTTCATTCAGTATATATGTGAAATTTCTCAGTTGATCACGACAAGTTAACAAGTAACTCCTCACCTTTTCTGTCACAAACTTGTTGACGTCTACATCCTCAGGAAGGAAGTCTTTCCACTGGAGGCCTGCATCCCTCCACATAGTTCCTGCCTTTTTATGGCTCTGAAGGGGGAGATAAAGGTTCAAGCCCAGCCACTAACATGTCTCCTCCCCCATCTCTGCAGCCCTTTGCCTCCTGTCTACAGCTCACTGAACAAAAAATGTCTGAAAACACAACTTTTATATAGATATAATTGATTAACTCACCATTTCTTTGCAAAGTAAAGTGAGGATGTGGACCAGCAGGACTCCAGCTTTGCCCAGAGGGATCAGAGGCTTAGAAATCTCCCTAGAGACAAAGAAAGTCAGCGCAAGTTAAACAACAAACTAAAATTACAAACAGTCCAAAAAGATACCTTTTCTTACAGATTTCTCTTTCTAACTTTATAAGGGGCCACGTGAGGCCTGGGACTAACCTGAAAAGTTCTCCCATGGAGACACCTCCCTCATGGAGCATGGGAGTGATCAGCTCTGCCAGGTACAGCCACATGTGGGGGATGTCTATGGCCATGTCTTCAGCCACCTCCAGGATTTCCTGGAGCCTGAGCACACACACAGTGCACCAACATCAAAGTTGAGTCAACAGACAAAAGAATACAAAGCAAGCAAGTTAAACAACACATGAGCAAATTAAGTGTTTTAAAGGCTACAGTTCATGGATCAGTTGAGTCTGGCTGGGAACAAAAAAGTAAACAGGAATAAGATCTACTCTAGACCGGTGAATAATCCTATAAAAGAAAAATCACTATGCAACATGGCACAACAGCGCAGATGCCATTTGCTCATTGCTGTGGTAATTATCTGGCAACATATCAAGCCAAACTATGGCAGCAGAATATCAAATACAGAGAACGTCTTGAAAATATTGTACAAACTGCTCCAGAGTTGGTCTGTGACCAGACTACGACAATAACATCCCCATAAGATCTGCCATAACATCAGATTCTAGCTGAAAGTCCACTGACTCAGTAGGGCGTCAAGAAAATTTGACATTTATTCAAAAATTACTGAGCTACATCTTTAAGCAAACCACCATTACTGAAATATTGTTTTCTTAAATAATTTTCAAAACTAGTGATATCAGTGTGATTCTAAATGTTAAGGGCGAGTTTTCATAGAATCATATTATGGGGGTCAAACTATCATGGGAGTACCACTTTTAATTGGAATAGCATTAGGGAGAAACTGAGCTGCTTGGTGGAGGTTTGCACTCTCTGAATGCTGTCTAGTTATGAGATGCACTCTTTTGATAGCTATTCATGTGCTTTATGTGAAAACCCCTCTCTGGGACTCCATACTGACCCTTTATAGTACTGCTGTGTTAGAAGGATGCCAGTCTTAACAAGCTGATGCAGCAGCAGGCCCATGTGCTCCCTGGCGATGGTGCTGCGCTCCAGTGTCGACTCCAGCCCGTTTCGTACAAACACAAAGAGCAGCTGAGTGCTGTTCATCTCCTGCACACACTGCAGAGCCTCCTGGTGGGACACAGAGGGAGACAGACGGTGAATGCCAACGTGCTACCTGCCTCTCATAGCTGTCAGACTTCTGTAATGATGTAAATGTGCCTGTAATATACACACACGAGATTTACTGCTAATGCAAAGTGAACCTTTCCTTCTAATGCTGTTTCACATTAAACGCATTCATAACCAAAGGGTGACGACTTGCTGTGAAGCACCCATAGGAAATGCACAGAGGTAACCGTCACAGACAATGGCACGTATAGCTCCATTTCATTTTTTTTAAACAACTGCGCATCACTGCACACCTTCATGTCGTTGATATGGAGGTATTCCTCAATGATGGCTGTAGACTTCTTGTCCAGCTCTTCCTCGGTCAAGGCAGGCTTGGTGGGGGTCTGGGGAGGTGGAGGGGTGGCAGCCTTCTCATGCTTCACTGTTCACACATGAAAAAGGTTCATTCTAGAAATCTGAATTAATGGTAACATTGACTGAAACAAAGTACCTCTCCTAGTTTTCCTGTTGAACATATTTTTATAAATATAGCATGTGGCTCAAAGTTCATAGATAAAGCAGCTGATGAAAAATGTTTCCTGATGTAAATACCTTTTGTGTTTTTTTCTCTTTTTGGATGGAATTTGAAAATATAACATTCAGATCTCCTTTAAACATTACGCCATCTACCATTCTCTTTGCTCCTGGCTCTCTCTCGGCTGCCTCGGTCTCTGTCGTCTGTCATGCTCGATATCCGGCGGACAGGGTCAGCTGACCCACGCTGCTCTCTCTCCCGACTTCGCTCCTCATTCTCCCGGCTGAAGCTGCGTTTGGTGACCTGCAACCGGTTTCGATCACGGTCATCCCGTCGGTCAAAACGGTCACTGCCTCGATCAGAGTGGTCGAAGCGGTCGCCACGCTCTCGACTCGAGCTGTTTCTGAACAAAGACAAAAGGGAGCGCAGAGTCAGGGAGATATAATGTAGGCACCGAGTCTCAAACAAAAGAAGGAGCTTGTTACAATACATCCACCACAGAGAATATTTAAAATGGTCGCACTGTTTTGTCAAGAGTAAAGGCTGTGTGCTGTGTGTCTTGTGCTCACCTCTGAGGAACTCGTCTGTCTGAGTCAAGTGAAGAGCCTGAAGAGGATGACGGCTGCTGCAGGGCTGAGAACCTGTTCAGGGTACTGGTGGTTGGGCGACTGCCCAACTCTGAGCCTGGAGATGAAATTACACAGTTAATGCAGAGTTTCAGTTCTGAGGTGTGCATTTAGATTTCTATTTGATATATAACCACATCAGTCAAAGAAACCTACCAGAATCTACAGGTTTGGCACTGGTGCCACCGCTGCTGCCCTTACCCCAGCTTCCCCATGTGCCTTTACCCCCTGGAGCAAGCAACTGATTGTTGAAGTCAAGAACAGGAGTCTGAAAGAAGAGACTGCTGGTTAAAAACACAGACATGTAACAAGATTGGATTAAAACATTTCTGTGACACTATGGGAAAAGCTGCTTCCCTCTCCTACCTTAGTGATTTTGCTAAGGCGAGAGGTGTCAATGGGTCGGTTCTTGGAGATGGGTACTGTGTTCCAGCCCTCATCCTGGGGAGGAGCACCACGGCCTGGAGTGTGAGGGCCCCCACGTCCCCCAGGACCTACTCCACCCATTCTGCCTCCTGGACCTCCAACTGAATCCTTTTTGGAAATAAGGGCTTGCTGCACCTTCATGTGCTCCCTGTGCTCCTCTAGCTCGGCCTCTTTGTGGATCTGGTCGATGGTCTTGGGGCCCTGGTCGCCTCGCCGAGGCACCCAGTTGTTCTGTGATGGGATGGTGTAGAGGTTCATGGGGTAGGAGAGAGATTGTGAGTACCTAGCAGAAGTAAGTTACTACAAAACAATTCATTGTCAGCTGCACTTTTAACACGATTTGCTTACGCAGGAGGTTCTGGGTGTAAAAAAAAACAAAAAAAAAAACAGATTTTCTTTGAAAGATGTAAATAAGCAAATGACATAAAATGTCACTCAAAACATAAAAAAAACCCCTGAACATACAGTGGGGCAAATAAGTATTTGATACACTGCCGATTTTTCAAGTTTTCCCACTCACAGAGAATGGACAGTTCTGTAATTTCATCGTAGGTACACCTCTACTGTGAGAGAAGAATCTACAAAAAAAGTCCAGTAAATCACAGTTAGATTTTTTAATAATATATTTCCATTTTATTGCATGAAATAGGTATTTGATCACCTACCAACCAGCAAGAATTCTGGCTCTCACAGACCTGTTAGTTTGTCTTTAAGAAGCCCTCCTATCCTCCACTCACTGCCTGTATTAATTGCACCTGTTTGAACTCGTTACCTGTATAAAAGACACCTGTCCACACACTCA